TGTTTATATTAACCTTAAAAAATTCTCAATAAATTTACATAAAATTACTGTAAGACTCAGACTAAACAGTAATGTATTATCGTGACAAACAAGACAAATTCAGTCATATCTGAATAAGCTTATGATATCAGAATGATCCAGTTATCAAAATGTAGCTTTTAAAGCCAAAAATCTGAAAATGTGATTAGGTCATTTTGACCAAATTTGATTTAATCCTCATTTCGATATGATGGGTCACATATATGTTTCTTAGTATGTTCCTTTTAATCTATCCTATATTATATTAACGAATCAGACAGTTCACAGTTTCAATAGCTACAATCTGATTCCACTGCCCCGATGCCTTAGTGAACAAATTCCTCAGTCACAAACTTCATCAACAATGTTTCCATTGAGTAAATCTCCAGTACAATGGTTTGGGCAAACATGCTCACGCTAACATCTACACCAAGTTGTGCTTCAAAGGCAGACATGTCTGTGGCCTATCAATGTTTGGCATTGAGTTCCACCTTGTTTACATTGTTAGAACTCAACAAGTTGGGTCTTCCTGTTAACCATGTCATTTTGTTACTACACTGAATAGTTCACAATCAACTAAATTCATTAAGTAAAGAAGCCTCAACATAGAATCAGCATCACAGCTTCAGTTTTTAAAGTATGACCAAAAAAAAAAAAAAAACAACAACAACAGGAAATGACACACTGACCTAAATGTAGTGTGGAGGTTTGTCATTTACCTGCGTGTTAACATTACGAGTCATCCTGTTGTACTCCTCATTTGCAAGTTTGGCTTTGATTTTCCCGAGACGAGCTACAAGCTCAGGATTCTGTGGAAGATAAAGTCCATCACTACGACACAAAACAGCACTTTGTGGACAGTTTTGAAGCTAAATCTTTAAATAATTAAAAAAAAACTAACATTTCTCTAGCAATTCTTACATATAAACAAACATACAGACACAATATAAAATTAAAAATGATGTCTCATTTTTCTAGACCTGACGTGTCTAAAGGTTGACTTTTCATGTAATTAAAGGCATTATAAGAATGTATATCCTATTCTTATTTTCATGCCAAAGTTTTAGACCAAGCTCATCTTATGCTGATAATGGACAAAACTGTACATGTTTTGTTGAAACCTTGGAAATAACTTTATGAACAATCTTGTATATTATTGAAAGAAAAATATTAACCTGCAACCTTATTACATGTTTGTACTAGGGCTGTGCATTGGCAAGAATTTGGCGATACGATACATATCATGACAGAGGGGTCACGATACAATATATCCCGATATATTGCGATATTGTAAGCAAGGCGATATATTGCGATTATTTTGGTCCAAAAATTCTATTAAATAAAAACCTCTTATAGGGGAAAAAAAATGAAAAACCAAACTTCATTGTCTCAGAAAATCCTAATATTACATAGACATACTTTTAGCTATAATATTACATAGACATACTATTTAGCTAGAGATACATTTAGCTGTGTTCTGCTTTGTATGTTTTTTTATTTTATTTGTTTCATATTTCTTATTTCATCCTTGTTTTCAATTATTTGACTAAATTTGCCAATAAATAGTTTGAAAATATTTTTTTTGCAGCTTTTAGTTTTTAATATTAATTTACAATATGGTCACCAAACACCTCAAGAGCTGCCAACTAGCCGTTCATTTTATGTTGTAGTTCAGCCTCTGACCACTAGTTGGC